GCGAGTATAGGCTAAACAACTTTGTAGGCTTATTTTTTGGAATAGAATAATAATTTAATAAATTTTAGTAGTGAGAAATTATAACTAGAATGTCTGTGGCTTTAGTTAGCCAATAATATACAATATATGTTTAAAAATATGAGCTCTTAAAACAATTTAATTTCCATCATTATTAAAGTAATTTCTGAACTTGACAGTGCTGCTTATATGATATTGAGTGCCTAATATAGCTGTAGATTTGATGTTTGTTGTTTTGCTAAAACTTACGAAAATCAATTAATAAGCTTATTAAGAACAATGGGAAGGTGTATTATTAATATCTGACAGTGGCTACCTAGGTTATATAACCAAGTTATAATGAGAGCCAATGTTAAAATAAGAACTAGGAACTAATCTAGACCCTTAGATCATGTTAATCCGGCGGCTCACATGCTTCCCGTGTCATTAATGGCATTTTTGTAATATTTGAATGTTATAAACTGATTCCCAATTTCATTTCTAAAAAGTAAATGAAAATTTAGTAAAAGTAAATGAAATCGGTCATAAAGTAAATGAAATTGCCTTAAAAGTTTAAAACTGGAAAAAAGTTGCAAAAAATGCATAATTACGAAAATGTCATTAATGAATGCGGGTGAAACATGACCCATCAGATTGAGTGTGATCAATGGCTGAGATTGGTTCTTAATTCCTATTATATATATATATATATATATATATATATATATATATATATATATATATATATATATATATATATATATATATATACACACATCAAGATGCGGAAGATGATTGGGCAACCCTAAAGGTGTAACACCCCAATAATTCTCCCTTTTCCAAACCACTTACTTTAAATAAAAATAGAGGAGAACCATTGGCATGTTACCGCCACATGTTAAAACGTTAAGTCTTTATCAAAGTATTGCAGCGGAAATCCAACTTAAATCTTAAAATAATATAATTTAGAAAACGAATAAGTCAAAGCTTACAAATTGGAACCATAAAGGCCTTTATTTAAAACCAAATCAATAATCAAAATCCCAAAACATAATTAAAGTAGTAAAACATAAATAAGTTCACCACAAAGAATGAATACTCTCAATCACACCAATCCCTTGACAATGCGTATGTCAAATCCCCGAAGTTCACATCATTAAGCTAACTTGTACAATTCTGCTCCCCAATAATACAAGTGTAATAATTGGATCATCACACGGTCATTGAAAGGCAAAGGCCATGACCAAAAGAAAACACACAAAAGCACGCAATCAGCAAAGCTGAGTAAATACAAGCTACAACACACATAACCTAGCATGCTCAATTAATCAAAATAAATAAATATACAACACGAATTCATTAATCAAGACTCCACACTTAAACAATTCAATTGACTCAACATACTTTCTAACCAATTCTAAACACTCGACTCTTTATATTTAATTTAATTAATTTAATTTGGAGTAAGCAATAGACGAGGTTGTCCAATCCACCAAATCATTTTGGTCTCAAATGACCATTTAAAATAAAAGTTTAGTACGATGCAAGAATGGGTGCGCCTCCATTCTCACAAAGTTAGTCTAGGATCCCATCTAACTTTCATTATAAAATAAAAATGTAAATACCAAAAGAGAAGAGGACATGTTGATCAAACAAGCCTCGGAAAGCCACGGGCTACCACCGTGTACCCCCAACCCATAATTGTCAATACTCTAAAAGTGCACACTTTCCAGAGTTTTATTGCTCATCCATGTTTCACTTTACGTGATTACAATTTTAATTAATAGCCGACTCATTCCAGAAGACCATAAATAACAATGACACATCAATTCACTTTTAATCTTATTTAGTACAATGGTGATCACATCACAAGTTGACCTTTAATTCCATTAAACTTCCAAATTATCCAAAATTGTTTAACATAGTTAACTCAACTAGCTATTTTGGCTTAATCCACCTTTACTCAACATACAAACAAGTCATGATTGAGTAATAAATAAAATAAATAACAACCTTGTGGCATAATTAATAAATTCATTCCACTTAAAACCATTCAATTCCAATCCTTTAATAATCCAAATGTGGTTAACAAACCAATCCAATATGTTTGTATCAACATTCCATACAAACAATTAATCCACTATAATTCAACATGCTTGCATCCATAATTCCATACAAACATAATCAATTCACCCAAACATGCCTCATAAACATAAGCACATGAATTAAATCAATGTATAACCAAACAATTTCCATACAAGTGTTCCCTAAACATGAAACTAAGTTTTTTTCTTTTGGTACCTAAACATAATACTACTTACAACGAAGTAGACATGTACGTACCTCGTGTAAACAATCCTTTGTGCCACTTTTAATTATTTATTAAAAGTCTCCTAGGTAATAATCACTTCCTAGAAAACAACCAACAACAATAAATTAATACTTAACCAAATTTCTAGCAATATAATTAGATTAAAAACTCTTTAAAACTTCCTTTAAAACATGTTTTTATGGTTAATTAATCATTATAAATAAAATAGGAATAAAAAGCCCCAAACTAATTGATTATTAGAACCCTAAAATCCCAATTTAAATAAATTAGAACCCAAGATTTTAAAATTTTAAAATCTCAAAATTATAATAACATTTATAATCTGAAATTTATAATCTTTTACCATAAAAATATAGATTTGATACTAATTTAATCAATATCAAACAATTAAAACTAAAACCCAAAACAATTAGATTAATAAACAAGATAGTATAACAAAATTTATGGAGAAATAAGGTAAGGGAGGCATCCATGTGGTTGACCGGGCTGCTGGTGGTTCGCCGGCGACCTAGGGGCGGCGCCGGAGTCCGGCGGACGGCAGGTGGCTGGCAGGCTTAGGTGGCAGCAGTGGAAGTGAGAAATTTCTCACGTGAAGGAGGAATAAGGGGAAAAAAGAAAGGAAAAAAAAATAAAAATAAAAGAAAGGAAAGAGAAAAAAATAAAAGGGAAAGGAAATTACTAACCTTTTTGTGTGGGGAAAATTTTGGGATGCACGGGGTATATATAGGAGAGAGAGTGGTGTAGGGTAAGTAGTAAGATTGGGCCTCATAAAATTAATGGGCTAATTAAGTAAGTAAAGTGAGTTTGGCTTTGTTTGTTTGGACATGAATTATAGAATGAAGTTACATATAATAATTGTACCAAAATAATTTTCGACCCAAAAATAAAAAATTTGAATTTTTTGAAATTAAATTCCGGAAATATACAAATAAATATTATAAATAAAATAAAATTTCATTTATAAAATATTTAAAAATACGGGGGATTACAATCTACTCCTGTTAAAAGAAGTTTCGTCCCGAAACTTAGCACAAAACCTCTTAAATAGCAAGACATTTGCATAAAATCCTTTCAAAGTTATCAATATTATGTTGCTGGAATTCCAATTGTGTCATAATATCGACACTAATGACTTATCACCATCCCTATTTACGTAATTCACTAAATACCTAAACAATAAAATAGCTACGAAAAACATGAAAACACCATAAAATAGCATAAAATAGGGCAAAAAGCGCGAAATTATACGCATTCTACCCCCTTAAAGAACAAGAGTTACGCCCTCGTAACTCACCTCATTAAATAACTCAGAATATCTCTTTCTCATATAATCCCCGGCCCCCAAGGACTTATGTTTTTCCTCAATATTAGAGTATACCAAATTATCATCAATAAAAATAACTACAAACTTACTCATGGAAAACTCGATTCATCAAGTTTATAAAGATTGCAGGTGCATTGGTCAACCGAAAAGGCATGACTGTAAACTTATAGTGCCCATATCTAGTCCTAAAAGCAGTCTTAGGAATGTCCTTAATTATCAGCAACTCTTAATTGATGGTACCCCGAACGTAAATTAATCTCGGAGAACACAATAGCTCCCTTCAATTGATCAAACAAATCATCGATCTTGGGCAGTGGGTTCTTATTATTTATTGTCATATTATTTTAACTCCCTATATTCAATGCACAATCTCATGCTCCCATCTTTCTTCTTCACAAAATACATCCAAAACTCATTCACAATTGGCACATTTTCCACATTCACCTTACTACTCATTACTTACAAGTTACATAACAAAAGAACAAAGGATACCCCTTACTTACAAGTTTCAACAACTTCATTGTAGAAATAATCACAATACCTTTTGGTTTCCCAAAACGTCTGTAAGACACATTCTCTCCCAAAGGACTCCTTAAATAAACCTTCTGTACTTCACAATCAATCTTAGCTTTATAAGTAGCCAACCAATCTATTCCCAAAATGACATCAAGGTCACCCGACTCAAATTCTATAAGATCAGATGGAAAAAAAAAAATCAGTCTCTCCAATCCTCAAAGGTAAACCCTTATGTATCTTGGTGCACCTCACAACTTCACCAATACGCAAACTAATAGGCAAGTCAATCAAATTCGGTTCAACTAGTCCTTATTGGTTCACAACGGAACTATAAATAAAAGAATAGGTGGCTCCAGAATCAAATAAAGCTTTAATAGAAATAGAATGAATAGAAAAGTTACTAGTGACAACATCAGAAGACCTTTCAGCTTCCTTCTTGCTCATCATAGACCAACGACCTGGAGTGAAATTTCCCTTGATTCCCGGAGTTGTTGTTGTTAACAATTCCGTTCTTTGCATTCCCATTTTGACCATTCGAAATTCCTCCTTGATTGCTTGTTGGAGTAAACTTGTTCTCATTCCCTTGTTGCTTCAGTAGTTTTGAGAAACACTCAAACTCCCTATGGCCCTTTTTGTTACAGAATCTACATACAACCAGGTTCCCATCACAATCCTTTCCAGGATAATCCTTGTCACATCTCTTGCAGTTGTAATACTTGTCTTGTATGCATATTGACAACCTACATGATGATTCTACGAATAAAGAGATGAGAAAATGAATCTAAATGAGCTCAGGCAATGTCCCTACGCTTTCTTCTTCTTCAACTTCAGCATAACTGACCCAATGAAAACACAGAAAAAGCAAAGAAGTGTAACAACAGCTAGAGCGGGTATGATAAGCGCATGGTAGGATGTATTGGTGGATAAGTGATCGTGTCCATAAACGGCTGCAAAAAACAATCAAGGATTTGTAATATAAGATCACAGTGACCAGACCTCGGAATCTATTCAATTGAACTTACCAGGATTGTGAACCAAAAACTATAGTATCTAAATATCAACAAGCTAGTACAAAACAATAGAAAACCAACAGCTCGGCCTGCCAGATCCATTGACAAATGCTCCTAGTTGCAGCTTAGAAACTATACTTAATGAGTACAAGACCTACGTACCTTCAAAAGCATGGCATCACCTAGTGGCTAATATAGTAGAAGCCACTAAGACTGCTCAAGGAATCATATGCAACACTTTTGAAGGTAATGTGCATAGTTTGTAGTGTAACTGTAAATAGATGTGCATATATTTCACAGTGATTGTGCGATTGTGCATATAATTGAAGGTAAATGTGCGTGCATTTCATGGTGTATGTGCATATATTTGAAGATAAATTGGTATATATTTCAGGGTGAGTGTGCATATATTTTAAGATAATAAATGTGCATATAAAAGTACCAAATTTTCGAATTTCAAATCTAAAACTATTGGATTTAGCTCAATCTAGCATATGTAAGATACATTATACTCGGACAAAAATACATCATTCATCAACTTTGTGATTGTCATTGCCTTGACAGTGTACATTTTATATTTTGTGTTGTGTTATATTACCTAAAAAAAACTGACTTCTATAAGGTAATCCAAAAGCTAAATGAGTTGACAACTTGAATATAATCAATAATTGGCATAGCAATCAATAGCTTTAACAACCTACTATATATTTTAATATATATTGGATAAATAAGCCTCTTCTTTGATATTTAAACATAAATTCATTCTAAGAGTATAAGATAAATTAAAGGAGCCAAATGATGCGAAATTTCTAATACCAACACTCACAATAATTATTAGCAAACCTTAATATGAATGCAATACAGATATCCACTTTTCACATAAGAATTATGACATCAGTATATTACTATTGACATACTTCATATGATATTAGGAACCCACTAATTTAAATTCACATGTAGGTTCCTGAAACAACAAAAGTTAATTGCACATCTGTAGTAGTTACCAACTAAAGCACTTCAACATGTTAAGAAAAGCTTCACAGGATGACTCAGAGCCTTAAGTAAGCCCGACTTAATAACAAGCTAGCTAAAACTTGAACATTAGCATCACATTATGCATAGATCTAGTTTCAGTTATACATAACCAGAACAACCTGTCCCCAACTGCACTCCCTTTGCAGTTATTAAGGCTATCCCACAAGGCCACAATTGCAGCCTACTGTCCCCAACTACACTCCCTCTGCAGATCACCAAGCTTACTGCCCAAGCCACCATATAATCTTCCCCAGGCCACCCAGCCCTACACACATCTTGCTCAGCCTAGCAAGCAGCAAGCCCCCTAACCCACCCAAGTAAGCCCATGCCTAGTGAGCCCACCGAGTTCCATCCCAAAAAGCCCACCAAACCCCAAAACAATGAGCCTAAACCTAGCCTAGTACAATTCACAATGAAAATCACATATATTATAACATACAGAATCAAAATGAAAGCATATTAGTAGAACAAATACCTTCTGTCTAGGTCCTTTTTATTGCAGCAACTTCTGTCTCAGAACTCTCAATGGAATCCTTGTCTGTTTTTGTCATTGTGTGATAAAGTACTTTAGTTCCTTTCCAAACACCTTCTTTCCTTAAGTAACTAACTGCTTTCCAATCATTTGTAATTCGCAGAACAAAACTGAATTCACTCAGGTTAGGATCCCAGTTCCATGCGATCTTCTGCAACATCTTTTTAGCCCGATCATGTAAAGAAACCTAGAAATGTACTTCCTTCTTAGCTGATTTAATGGATTTAGCTGTGGTTCCTTCATAGTGGGACGTTCCCTTTTTTGGTTTCTTCTTCCAATGATCAAACATTTGTTGAGTGAATTTGTAGTCATCAAACTCAACTTGTGCAAACTGGTTGAAATAAAGTTGCTCTCTGTCCACATAGATTATGATCTTTTTCTGCAAAACGAAAACGATAAAAGAACAATCGTCAATGGAAACCATTGAGATACACAAAAAAAAGAGGGTTTTAGAATTCACCTCCAATAAGGTGATGGATCTTTTTATTTCTGAAGTACTTGCAAACTTCGTAGCAAATTTCTGCATTATATCAAACCCCAAGTGTCATCTACTAGTAAAAAAGATCACTTAGTCAACATACAACTTTTGCCGCACATAATTTTTAAAGATAACTTCAAGCTAGACTCAGTATGTCACCCCTCTAATACCCATGAATCAGTTTCACTACCATGATAAAAACAGCAACTCCTAAAAATCCCATAACTCCATAGCTTAGAACTCTAACATACCTTATCTTTATAGAAATTTTACTTGCATCATCAAATATAATCTAAACCTATCTGTAAGAACATAAAGAAACTTTCAGCAATGGTTTCATTTCACGTCTCCAAATCAAACCATTAAAACTACTGAATATGATTCATGTTACATGAGCTTCTCTTGGTTGTGACCTTACTTTCCATTAATGACATCTTCACTTTTCAGAAAAAAATATCATGCTCAAGTAAAAATCTATCGCATATGAAACGCATACATCAAATTCACTACAACCAAAGAGAAAAGGCATGGATCATAAACCTGAAATCCGCATATCATCAATTTGCTCATACCTTAAATCTCGTCCAAAAATCCCACAAACCGAACATTTTTTTCCTTTCAACTTGTACAGATAAAAATTTGGATATAGCATGAGTTCAATCAATCTGATATAAATATATATTTATTTATGTAGTGTGTTTATTAACACATATATGAAGTGTCCTAGTTTGGCTGAATCACAACAGTAAACATTACATAATTTTTAAGTTTTCATGTATAACTGCAATGGAGATGTAGTCTTGATGATGATCATGATGACAAAGTAAAAAAGAAATCTCTCTTGATTATCACCATACAGCCTATACCATAAATTATTTTAAAAAATACTTGCTTGAGTCAACATCTCACACCTATAACACCCAAGAATAAAGTTACCTACTCATAATTAACACCATAGTTCACAATAATAGTCACTCCTCATAATCCCAAAGCAACATACCTCAACAGAAATTTGACTTGCGGCATCATATATATAATCATGAATCTATCCCACATACCATAAAGAAATTTTCAGCAATGATATTGTTTCGCATACTTCCATCACATTAGATTGTAAAGCTGCTAAACATAAATTTTCTTATTTGTAACCATACTTCCCAAACATTTGCTACAATAACAAAGGCGTGCAAAGAAATCTGTTATTTGATACTTAAGAAGAAAAATGGAAATAGTTTATTAGAAAAAATATTATGATGATGCTAATGCTCACTTCGACAATAATTAATGTATTGCGATTTTCTTATGTACGTTTTATGTACTGCTACTTTATGTTTCGTTAATTTAATTTAATTCCCCCTTTTCATTAAAAAATAAAAAGAAGTGTAGTTTAGAAATTAAGGATGCAGAATAACCTAACTTACCTCTATGTCCGCAACTGAGCTGCCGACATGGATTGCTATGAGAAACTGACGACTCCAATTGTTGGAAATCCAGAAAGAAATGACACCAACTAATGCCTGGCACACTGTAGAAAAAAATATCATCTTGATCTTAACAATAAGCAAATCATTCACAAAGAAAAATAGCAAAACTACTCAAAGTGCATATTTAAACACATTATGTTTAGGGTTTAGGGTTTAGTCAATCTTACCTCTGTTGAGACGTGTTCGGTACATGCTAGCCGAGTGTTTCAACAGCTGAGCAAAAGGAATACGGTTAGTCAACATAGATTATGTCATTATGATATTAAGCATAAATTTCACAATTTAAAATTTGAAATAAACATCTCTCACCTAAATTCTCCCAACATTCCAATGATTTTGAATGTCTCGATTCCACCTTTTATCAATGTTCAGGCAAAACAAAAAGAGTTACAACAACAATACATTGCCCTTCCAAGATTCTACCACAGTAATTTGAAAAGAAATTAATAACCAACGTGGTATAGCAGTACCATTTAGCAGTTGTGCCTGGTTTTCAGTGGTGATGAGGATCACTGAGTTTCTCTGCGCAAATGATACAATTAGAAACAACAAATTAAAACAGCCGAGTAAATGTTCTTAACAGGAACAGGAACTTACTCTGAGCAGAGGACCTCTTTCTTCAATGATACTACAGTATTACAAGGCTAAGAGTAGAGCTTCACTTCCACTAATGTAACCAAAGTTTTGTAGATATCAAAAGGATCATTAGCATAACTATTTGGTTGTTTTCTAAAACTAATTGGAAGTGAGAGCTACTAACCACAATCTTCTCAAAAGCTTAGTTAATCCTATCAAACTTATCCCTAGGTAATTATGTGATTTTAGTCACATAGAAACAATTCATTTAATATACAAAGAAAGTTTCAGCTTATTAAAAAATATCACTCCATATTGAAAAAGCACAGATACCTCCTTTGTTTGCGTCATTAAGTCAATGTAACTAATGATCCCAACATTTTGGAGGGTTTTGACATCTCCAGCATCAATACCATGTGAAATCATTAACACAGAAGTATATAGGTAATTCAAAGCATTAAAACACAATTGAAAATCATAATAAAAATGTATAGTGTTCAAATGTTTCTGATTAAATAGAGGAAGTAGACAAAAACGCAAGATTTTAGTTCAGCTTCACAATATTATAACCAATATCAAGGTAACTATAGAATTATTTGAAATTCCGATTTATAGTAGTAATAGGAATATCAGATGAATATATAGTATAGAATGAGTTGATTCAATGTTAGAAAACTGAGTTTCGTTTTAGTTTGAAAAATTATGCGACCAATTAATTCCGGCATCGTACAAATTTCCTACTGTATTTTAAAAATCAAAACAATTGAGGAGAAACATAAACTACAGAAAATTATAATAGGACGATGAAACGAAATTCTTTAGTATTGCGAAGAAATTAATCTAACTAAAATATTTTTCAGAGAATTTATGATTGACGAAACTTCACAGTGTCAATTCAACTTTCTAAACTCATGCGACTGATGCTAGTTGTTTTAAGAAATTCCTATTTCAAATTTTAGGATATTCGAAATAAATAATAAAAGCATTTTCAATTTTTGAAGCAATTATAACATGAAATGAAATAATAAACTCAAATTATTATGAAGTGAACTTACATTGATCAATCACTGCAAAGAAATCCTCCTCCTCCTCTGCGATGCCTCCTTCACCGAACTGCAATTCTGCCATTGTAGAGATGGAGAAGCTTCAAGAATTTTTGAAAGCAAGATAGAATTGGTAGAAAGAGAAAGAGAGGAGTAGAGAAGTAAGAGAGAGAAAGAGATTTGAAATTGTGATTGGTGAAAAATTTTGAATCATATTGAGGTCTAGTTGGTGAAAAATTTTGGATCATATTATCATGTATCAATAATACATTATTGTTCAGTGATATAAACTAAGTACCTAGTGGAACATCTTATAAAAACTACTTGCTTACTAGTTACTTTATTTATCCCTACAAATTCATCAATTAGTCTTAAGTGTTGCGTCGATTTGGTATCAGAGCCATACGGTTAAAGCTAAATTAAGTTGTTAATAATTAAGTAAATCTGGAGAATACTAGGCCCTCTACTGAGTGTAAGAAACCTGATTTTAAGCATTGTTATCATATTCCTGAAAATACTAGTAATTTTGGCCCAACCCTTAATTATATAGTAGATCAAATTGGCGAATTAAGATCGGAAGTTGATAACATACATGCTCGTTGTATTAATATCGAAAATAAGATATCAATAACCACAACCGATCTTAATAAAAAAGTAAGCGACCTAAACGAACAGGTTAAACAAGTTCAACTAGCCCTAACAAACGAAGTTAGGCATCAATTTGGAAAAGAAGTATCACCAAATAAAGAAAAAATTGTCCCATATAAATATAAATATCCTTTTCAAAATCTAGATAAAAATAAAAAGTTTACTGTAACACTCTCTAAAAGACCTACTAGTAACCAAGAAAATAATAAAGAAACTAAACATGAGCCCACATCTTTAGGAGAAAACGCTAAATGAATTACAAGTCCTATTTGACAAAGAAGAAGACCATAATAAGATTAACAAAATCATGAACTTAATTTCTATAAAAAGGGATTGCTTCTGATAATGAAATAGAGGAAAATAATTATGTTATTATAGAAGAAGATTTATATCAACAAATGGGATTAATAAAGTTGAATGATCTAGAATTTCTACCCATAGAAGTTGTTCAACAAAAGATCGAAAATAAACTAGGTGAAAGAGTAATGGATAATAATGATGTTGGAGATGAAATTATTAATGAAAATATTAATGTTAACAATGTTATCCAAAGACCTAGGTACCAAGGAGAAGGAAGTTGCACACGACCAAGATACATACCAGGGAAGACTACCCGATTTAGTGTCAAGGTTATGCCTACTCATATACCCAAACAAGAAGTGACTCTTGAACCCATAAGTCAAACTGGTTATAAACTTAAATTAGACGGTGTAAGAGATAGACAAGACGTTTTATATCAATGGAAGAAGAGTATGAGTAGTGTACTTGTAGGGAATATTTCTAGCATTACCCCAAACTTGAACCCCACTGTGATCATACACTAAAGTACGGTGGCGTCCAAAGGGAAAGAAGATAGAGCAAAAGAGTCGCTAACAAGTTTTAGGAACTTGTAAACCGTTCACAGGGTGAAGGTTACACCCCTTAACGATCCAGGAGATCGTTAACTCCAATAGGTCTGGAACCATGACTGGTAGTTCGGGGATGAAGGTAAAAATCCAACCTAAAATAGATTGAACTTGCCCTAATAATAGGCCTCTACTTTATTCTGATCGTATTCATGTGCTCTTTCTGACTAACATGCAATCAATAGGTTTACCCTAAACCTGTTTATCTATGTTGGTTGAATATTAATGCACAAACAAAACTATTATTGGCAATCACTTGAATTATAATCATATTAACCCTAAATAAGATTATTAATTAACTTATTAAGCGTGATTACAAGTATAAATTTCCTTTAAACATGCATAAAAGGTGTGATCAAGGAATAACAATAAATAAACATCAAGCAACATAATAATCATCATAATAATAAATAATAATTATAATAAAAATAATTAACATCATCAAAATAATTATAAATCATAGAAATAATCATGTTCATGTTAAAGCGTAATAATAGCAAGATCTTAGGCATGATACTAACAAGATTAATAACAAACCCTAGCATGTCACTAAACAATAAAGATCAAATATTTAGCCCTAACATGATACTATTATGAAAGACAATAAAAGGCATCATAGAAATCATAATTGACATTATATTCCTTACCCTAAACATGATACTAGGAACTTATTGTTGTCACCCTAAACATCAAATTAAGAAAAGCATCCTAACATGATACTAGGAATCAACATAACAACCTAAACATGATCTCTATATCATAATATCAATTAAACAATTAAAACACTTACTTGGATGCCTCGTATCTCTTTCTAATAACAAAATACACACGTTAATAACTTTAAGGAAAATAATAAATCAAACAATTTAATTAAATAATAATTGAAATAGAGATTAGGGACCAAACCCTCATAAATTAAAACCTTTCACGTCTAGGGCAAAGGCAACTTCGAACAATGCTTGGTGTTTCTAAATCTTGTGAATGCGGAATTTTGTAGAGAAAGCTTGAGAGAAAGAAGAGATTCTTGAAAACTAGAGAGAATAAGAAAATTAATTGTTGTTGATGATTGAAACCGAAGGTTTTAGGAGGCTATTTATAGAGAAAATCATCCGAATGAATAGAAAAACAAATCAGAGTTTCGACGAGAGTAAAACACTATTGGCGCCAGACGCTGAACATTAGCGCCAGGCGCCAATCCGTAGCGCCAGGCGCTAATAACTGGCGTCAGGCGCTAATAGCCGTTTTTACGCATTTTCTTAATTTTGATAAAATTTATCCGTATAGAAGGGCAAAATCGTATTTTCCTTAAAAACACTTCTTTTATTCTGATTAACACTCCAAAAAGTCAACCAAAGTCAATTTATCGATGCTAATTATATTAGGAATGAAAAAAACCTTCTAGAATAATCTAGAAGACTAAAATCAATTCTAATTGCATTAGGAATGATAAATCCATATTAGGCCCCCCTCTAGATCATTCGGCCGCACATAAAAATCAAACCGAGCCCAGTTTAGTAATTTTGCCATAACTTCCTCATAATTCATCGGAATTGTGCTTATAATATATCGTTGGAAAGCTCTTTTCAAGCCCCATCCAACTACACTATTATTTTACCCTTGATATGGACCAAAACAAACTGGATTGGATGTTTTCTTAAAATAGGTTTTCAAAACAGAGAGAAAGAAAACAAATAAAAAAATCCACAACATTATACTTTCCACACTTTCACCTCATTCGATTATGATTCGACGCGAAAGGTACTCATCACTGGGTTTGGTTTAGGGAGACACCAATGGGTGTCTACAATACTTAATTTAAATACTGAATGGACTTTAGAAAATTTCTTGAATTATATTGAACATAGTCTCTACGGCTGTGTAGAAGACTGGTACGATGGAATGGATGAAGAAGTAAAAACTGCATTAAGAGCTAGTGAATCACCTACTAGAATGTTTAGGCAATTATGTCAATTATTGCGTTAGAGTTCATTGGTCCTAGAGCCGACCCTAATGAGAAACAAATGGAATATCAAAGAAAGTTAAGTAATTTGTCCATCTGTAATATGAAATATGTTGATGATTACATTATGGAATTTGAAACATATTATTATAAAATTTGTGAAAATGAAACAAATCTTGGAATGATCTATGACAAATTACCGAGTCCTCTTAATGAAGAAATTAGTGAAAAATATCAAGAATAGAGAGAGAGATTTTTAGCTAGGTATGCCCTAGGTAACATAATTGCTTTCCTTAGAAAGTGGATTGAAAAGAAGTGTAGAGAGGTTTCAGGAACTCAACAAATGAAGAGACAATTTCTCACTTGTTGGGATTCCCCAAATAACTATGGATGTAAAAGAAAAAACTATAATAAAAGAAGGAACTATAAGAAAAATAAATTTGACTGATCAAGAGGAGAAACCTATAAGAAGAAGTATTATAAACATAAATATAGAAAACCAAATAGGTTTTTCAGAAAGGCAACATATTGTCCTGAGAAAAAGAAAACATGCAAGTGTTGGTCTTGTGGAGAACTAGGACATTATGCTAATGAATGTAAGAAAGCTAATCATAAACTAATGGAAGCCTTAGGAAGTTGGGATTACATAGAAATACCAGAAGACGAGGCTTTAGAATTGGCTTTTAGTAATAATAAAGGAATAGTAGAAATCATAGAAGAGGAAAATGAGTATAATGAAGAACCTGAAGTTAGTGATGAGTTTGAAGATGAAAATTATGAAGAAATAAATAACATTATGGAAGGAGAAGAATTAGAAAATTCAGAATCAGATGACAATGAGGAAGATAAAAGCAAAATGACAATAGGTCAACTAAAAAGAGCTGAGTATTCGTTTGAAGATAACGACCTACATCAAGTAAACAAAGAAAGCTGAAATTTTAATATTTAAAACTTCTTTCTTTAAAACTAGAACTAAATATGTATGTGAAGAAATGGAAGGAAGCATAGTAATCGAAGATTGTGAACAAAAGGCAACCGAAATTAATATCATAAACTGGAAAAGTATTAAAAAACATAAAGAAAAAGGAAATTATAGCTATATTTGTATTGGTGCAGTACAAGTATACATAAATCCTATGCAAGATTTTGGCAAGGATGTTAAATGCTTGAGTTTTATTTGTGATATTAGACATAAAGAGTTTTATGATCAAATAATTAGTGGTATCACATGTAACTTAAGTCAAGGAACGGTAAGCTATATATGTGAACCTAGATATTATGTGAGCTTGGAGGATTCCTTTGCGTCAAAGTTTTTAGCTATTAAGTTATTAACAGAAGGAGTGAAAATGCATAAAGGAACACGACCTATACAACTAAGATGGAAGGTGGTTTATAAGTTGGTAAACACTATAGACTCATCTTTTAAGAAACAAATAGTTGATGCTCAGAAATACGATCAAGGAGGAGGTCCTAAGAAGAAAATTACACCTATAAAGGTAAATCCTAATGAAATTGAAACTGAAAAAACTTGGGAGGAACACTAGTAGAAAAATAGCAATAGGCAGCCCCCATATGGCACCGGTTCAGGCCAAACCGGTGGCCAAAACCGGTCTAGAAATGGGCGGGATTTTAGAACAAGAGAAAAGGCACTAGTTTGGCCTGAACCGGTGCCCAAAATTAAAAGGGCACCGGTTTGAACCGGTGCCAATTTAACCGGAGCCAAATTCAAAAAAAAAAAACGCGGATTTTCTTCTCCTTCCTCTCTTTCTCTTTCATTCCTTCCTCACTGTTTCATTAGAGCTGAGCGAACAACGGCCTTCAATCCTTCCTCTCTCTCCCTCCACCACAGCCGTCACCTTCACCGGCGGCCACCAGAGGTGTCGAAAACCACCTTCAATCCTTCCTCTCTCTGTTTTCCCTTTCTTTCTCTTTCAAATTAAGCTGCTGCCCTACATATAGTTCCTTTACCTACATAGTTCGAAAAAAACATCCACCGCCCTGGGGTTGCTCCACCACCGAGCCGCGCCACCCCCCTGAGGATCCTCCACCACCGAGCCGCGCCACCGGCCTGAGGTTCCTCCTCCATTCGTCGTGCCCTGCCCTGAGTCTCCTCCTCCATCTGCTACCCTCCTTGTCTCTTTCCGTTCAAGGTTTCCTTTTAATTTATTTGTTTTTTTACATTATTTTCCAATTATATACTTATATATATTAATTTGTTTTGCATTTTGAACCATTGTTAGTAAATTAAAAAATTTAGGTTTGAATATAATTTTTCTCAATTTTAGGTTTGAATATAATTGGGAAATTGTGAAAATATTAGAGATTAGTAACCTTGTTACTCAATTAGTTTGATTTTATTATGTTTTAATGGTTAATTTAATGTGTTTTGGTGGATAATTTTGAAATAATTATAGAATATATATGAACCTTGGTAATTAAATAGGTGAAATTTGGTATGTTACTTTTAATGGTTAATTTGAAGTTGTTTTGATGGATTATTTTGAATAAGTTAGAGATTAGTGAACTTTGTTATTAAATTAGTTGAATTTTGGAATGTTTAAATGGTTAATATTAAGTTGTTTTGATGGGTATATTTGAATAAATTTGAGATTAGTAACCTTGCTTGTTTCTAAAGTAGATGAATTTTGGAATGGGTGCATGAATGGTTACTTTTAAGTTGTTTTGATGGGTAATTTTGAAAAAATTAGAGATTAGTAACCTTGTTAGTTTAGCAATTGTTAGTTCGATGAATGATGTGTTTTAGCTTATAAATAAATTAGTGAATTGACATGTTATGAGAAAGATATAGTACATACCTAATATTTAACCTAATTTTTGTTTATTGTTTTTTTTAATAGATTTGTGAATTGAAGCACGAGTTTAGCTTGTGGACTACATATTGAGCTCAAGTGGGTAGTTGCTATATTGGTATGACTTATCAACTTTACTTAGCTATATTTCTTTCTATTTATCCATTTAATAAAAGTTTATTCACGAAATTGCAACTTGTGTATTGTTTAATTGCAAATAAATACAACAATATATAGAATACTTGCATCATTATATGCCTAGATACCCGTTCAAGGCTTTCTCATTAGGAGAAAGTCTTGAATAGTCCCTGGTTGGGTCTGTTCTTGAATGTGTACTCTCACTTAGGTGGTGAATGTATGTTTTCTTTTCGATTTTAAGGAACATATTGGCTTACCATTTCCTCACTACGTTCTCTGGGTACATATGTGGGTAATTAATTATCTACATCGTGTACTTGGAGAACTAGGGGGAAATGCTGCCGGATTTTCCTTAAAATTGGAAAGTTGACATACATTCACTAGTGATAGTAGACATTCAAGGATGGGTTAGGTTGGAGTGATAAGGACCCTTTGGAAACATGCATTTTTTCACTATATGAATGGTATATTCACGTTTTGTACTTGAATTTGATTTACATAAAATATGTAGCAATCACACATTATTCATTATATGTTGCTATATATGTTTAGAGACAATTTACTAAATGGAGAAGGATCGTGGTTGGATGTATGGTAGACGCGATACATTGGAATTTTGGAATGGGGTTCAAGAGTTTTGCGAGAGGGCTTTAGCTTATCAACGCAAACTGGGTGGCAAAGGCCTTTATTGTCCTTGTGTTGATTGTAATAATGTGAATGTGGTCGATAGTGTTGAAATCATTAGAGATCATGTATTATGTCGTGGGTTTAGGAATTTATACCATGTGTGGATTTGGCACGGAGAAAGTGGAGAGTACAGTGGGGATCTTGATCGGAATGATGTGCGTGTTAGAAGCAATGAGATTCATGTGGACGAGGAATACGAGAATGATGACTATAATGTTGATAATGGTGAGGATGGAGCTGATGATGACCAGGCGGATGAGGTCGAGGATGAACAAGTGGATGAGATGTTGCATAGTGTTGAAGGTGGAGTGTTTGAGTTATTATCGGAGGCTTCCAAAAAGCCTTTGTATCCCGGGTGTAAAAAATACTCCAAACTCTCGGCCATGCTAACACTTTTCAACATTAAGTCGAAGCATGGATGGATGGACATCAGTTTTACTTCTTTGTTGACCGCATTAAGTGATATGTTGCCTGATGGGAATGAAATTCCTAAGTCTTACTATTACGCAAAGAAGCTCATGTGTCCCTTTGGTTTGGAGTATAAGAAGATACATGCATGTCCTAATGACTGTATTCTTCATCGAAATGAGTTTGAACAACTACAAGAGTGTCCACGATGCAAGCGGTCGCGATACAAGCGCATGAGTTGCAATCCTGGCACGGAGGGACCTCCTGCTAAGGTGTTGTGGTATCTTCCCATTATTCCAAGGTTTAAGCGTCTGTTCTCAATACCAAAAGACGCTAAAAACTTGAGGTGGCATGCAGAGGGAAGAAAGAAAAACAGAATGCTGAAGCATCCAGCTGACTCTCCACAGTGGTAGAACATTGATTTGAAGTTTGAGGAATTTGGTGATGAAGTCAGAAATTTAAGGCTTAGGTTGTGCACGGATGGGATGAATCCATTTGGCACTCTTAGTACCCAACACAGCACATGGCCGGTACTTTTAGTGATTTATAATTTTCCTCCTTGGCTGTGCATGAAACGTAAGTATGTAATGCTTTCATTGCTAATAACTGGTCCTAAGCAACATGGAAACAACATAGATGTTTACCTTGCGCCGCTTATTGACGACTTGAGAAAGATGTGGGACGAAGGGGTTTCCGTTTTCGATGCTCATCAGAACGAGATGTTCACATTGCGTACAGCCCTTATGTGGACCATGAATGACTTCCCTGCATATGGAAACTTGTGTGGTTAAAAGGTCAAAGGAAAAAAATCATGCCCCATATGTATTGATGACACATCAAGCATATACCTGACTCATTCTTACAAAGATTTCTATCTATGGACTCGAAGGTTCCTTAGGCGTGATCACCCATACCGTAGGCAGAAAAAGGCTTTCGATGGAATCGTGGAAGAGGATACTGCGCCTAGACCATTGACTGGTGCTGAAATTAGTGCTCGGGTGAAAGGGATACGAACGGTGTTTGGAAAATCAGAAAAAATTGTGGTCTCAGCTGCTCTGTTTAAGAAAGAATCAATCTTTTGGAAGCTTCCGTACTGGAGAGAACATGACATTAGGCATTGTCTTGATGTGATGCATATAGAGAAGAATGTGTGTGATTCTCTTTTGGGAACGCTTATGAATATCCCAGGCAAAACAAAGGATGGAAAGGGTGCACGGTTAGATTTGAAAGAGATGGGGATTCGTCCAGAATTGTGGCCTCAAGAAAAGGTTAGAAAGGGGAAGGAGCCGAGAATAGAAGATGAAAATGTTTCGAAAAAAGGGAAGGAGAAGAGCAAGGGAAAGGGAAAGGGAAAGGCCAAAGATGCGTCAAAGAAGAAAGTTGAGGGTAAAGAGAAGGATGAAAAGAATTATTTACCCCCGACTTGCTATACATTGTTAAGGGTAGAGAAACGTATGTTTTGTGCATGTCTGTATGGAATTAAGGTTCCATCAGGGTACTCATCTAACATGAAAAGATTTGTAACCTTAAATGGAGAATTGAAGCTGACAAGTTTGAAATCCCATGATTGTCACATTATGATGCAAGTATTCCTACCGATTGCAATCCGTGGTATTCTAACAAAACACGTGAGGGAAGCGATTACAAGCCTTTATTTGTTTTTCAATACAATTTATAGCAAAGTTCTTGATCCTTGTACACTAGATGCTTTGCAAGCAGATGTGGTTGTGACTTTGTGCAAATTTGAGATGTATTTCCCACCCTCATTTTTTGACATAATGGTTCATCTGGTTCTTCATTTGGTGCGTGAGATTAAGTTGTGAAGTCCAATGTTCATGAGGTGGTGCTACCCTTTTGAAAGACACATGGGTACATTACAAGATAAAGTACGGAGCTGGGCTCACCCTGAAAGAAGTATGATGAAAGGGACCGTGGGTAAGGAGATAGGTAACTTTGTGGTGGACTACATAGACCTTTCTCAACCTATTGGTATTCCTACTTCTTTACATGAAGGTAGACTTGATGGTCATGACACAATTGGGTCAAAACAAATGTCACCAGACCGAGATCAGTTCTTACAAGCACACCTTTATGTGTTGCACCATGTTTTAGATGTGCGCCCATATTTAGACGAGCACATGGCTAGTTTGCGTGACGAATTTCCATCCAAAGGTGAAAGGGAACTTATGCAGTTGCATAATAAGAGGTTTGTTAATTGGTTTCGTGATCGAGTAATGAGTGGATTGGATGTTACTAATGTGACCGATACAGTACGGTGGCTTGCGTACTATCCTAGGGATGATGTCCGTTCATTTGAGGGATATGACATCAATGGGTACACTTTTTGGACCAAGGGTCGTGATTTGAAATCTTCCTCCACCCAAAACAGTGGTGTAACTCTTGTGGCATCGTCAAGGGAGTTTGCAAGTTCTAAGGATAAATTACCTGTCGATTCAGAGTTGTCATACTATGGTCGAATTCAAAAAATATGGGAGCTTGATTATTGTGACTTCACGGTTGCTCTTTTCAAGTGTAAGTGGGTTGGTAATATTAGGCATAACGTCAAATATGAGGAATTTACTCTTGTAGATCATGGCCACTTGAATGATAGTGAGGAACCATTTATCCTTGCATATCAAGCTAAGAAAGTGTTCTACGTAACTGACCCAATGGATTCAAAATGGTCTATAGTGCTAGCTGGCAAAAGAAGAATCCTAGGCATTAGAGATGTTGAGGATGAGGAAGAATATAATGCGTTTGATGATTTAGCACCTTTCACTGTTCTTAGACCTGTTGTACTAAATGACATAGACAACGAAGCAGGTTATATGCGATCAGACCACAACGAAGGATTTTCAGATTAAGGTAGTTTGATTAAAAGTTAGTAATGGTTTCATTGCAAATATAGTTTAGTTATCATGTATATAGGAGCATAAGTAGGCAAAAATGACCATAAAATAACATATTTGTAGTTTGAAATTGCCTAAGTTACTCATTATCATGCATATACAAGGTTATAGGACCATAAGTAGGTGAAAATGGCTTAAATAGCTTCTACTTAACCCAATTCTTTTGTTTTGTGTATGAACTAACATTTATTCATTCTAACAACCTATATTCATTATATTTAACATATTTGTAGTTTGAAATTGCCTAAGTGTACTCATTATCATGCATATACAAGGTTATAGGACCATAAGTAGGTGAAAATGGCTTAAATAGCTTCTACTTAACCCAATTCTTTTGTGTTGTGTATGAACTAACATTTATTCATTCTAACAACCTATATTCATTATATTTAACATATTTGTAGTTTGAAATTGCCTAAGTGTACTCATTATCATGCATATACAAGGTTATAAGACCATAAGTAGGTGAAAATGGCTTAAATAGCTTCTACTTAACCCAACTCCTTTGTTTTGTATATGAATTAACATTTATTCATTCTAACAACCTATATTCATTATATTTAACATGTTTGTAGTTTGAAATTGCCTAAGTGTACTCATTATCATGCATATACAAGGTTATGGGACCATAAGTAGGTGAAAATGGCTTAAATAGCTTCTACTTAACCCAACTCCTTTATTTTGTGTATGAACTATCATGCATATACTTTACTATACACTAATATTGTTTTATGATTGCTTTGACAGGTGCTTATATCTCATGGCGGACGATCATGACCCTCATTGTGTAGAGGACATTGACGATGATGAGTATGAGGACGAGTACGAGGATGAGGACGAGGACGATGATGAACCTTATGATGTGAATAAGGAGGATGACTTGGGTGAGCCAGAGGATCAGGCTCAAGATAAGTTTGAGCGTAGGCTTGAAGAATTTGAAATTTCAGCTGAACGTGCACCGCTTATTGAAAATACAGCACGTGAGATTGTTGGTGAGAACCCGACTCCTGAAACTCATGGCCAAGGACAAGATCAAAACAACACAGGTGGTGGAGGGGGGGAAAAGGCACCAGCTCAAAGAAAAAGAAGGGGTCCGACGAGAATCTTTAAGAAACTGGACGGTCCCATGGTCTTGGAGTAAGACAACAACGGCCAACCCGGGCCCAAATGGCGTCGACAATATGCTAATAAAGTTGAAATGTGTGCGCGGAAAATCCCCATTACACTTGTAATGCGTCAAGTACCTCCGGGTTTTATTCAAACATTTTATGATGATACAAGGGTAAGTGTGTTTTTGGCACATTAAGACAATTTAAGATACCTTAACCTTATGGTTGTTACTAAATAGAAACTAATAATCGGTTTTAATTTATGCTTGTAGAGGCTCTTTTCTATTCCTAATGATCCCGAGAAGAGAAGGGTGTTTGAATCTTTATTAGCGGAATAATTCAGAGGATTTAAGACCAACTTAACTAATGGGTGGATCTATAAGAAGAAGAAGAAAGCTGATAAGGATGACCTTCTCCCGTGGCAAATATGGCCGACCGTGTCAAAAGATGATTGGGAAGAGTTCGTTAGAATGAAGACTCAAAAGAAAGCCATTGTAAGTTTGTGTAAATCTGATCTCAATTGAATAATAGCTTGACTCTTTTTGTAGCAACGATACTAACATTTTTATTTTTGTAGGAACTTCAAGTGCAAAATAAAAAGAATGCAGAAATGAAGGAATACGTCCATCGTATGGGTCCTAAGACTTTTGGTGAAAAGAGACCTGAGTGGGTCAGTTCGAGTTTATACCCTAAAGTGCTTCTAGTGGCATCGAAGGAACCCTCTAGTTCCACGATCACTACATTGGTGAGTCGTTCCGGTGATTTCTTTTGTTCTCTCCATACGTTTGATAAGGAAACCGGAAAATGGGTCATCAAGGGTCCGGAAGCCAAAAAACTGGCAGATAAGCTTGTAAGTTACCTATGAACTGTTGAATTTTAAGTCACTTTTGCATTTAAATCACTATACAAACCATTAATTGTTTAACTAACCTCATTTTCCCTTATGTTATAGCTTGAGCACACTCAAGAGCTGGTGGAGGGCAAATTTGAACCAAGTGTGGAGAATGACCCTTTCGCCATGGCTTTGGGAAGGCCATACCATCCAGGACGAGTAGTAGGTTCGGGAGGGTCATTGCTTGGATGGAAAAAGGTGATGGGTCAAGAATACACAAAATCGGGTAGATCTCAAGCCAGTGTTAACTCACCGGGGGAGTTGGATGCCAAGGTGGCATCAATTACGGAACAAGTACACAACGAGTTAGTTGGTGAATTCAATGCTTGGGAAAAGAAGATGAACTTACCGACTTTGTCGTTCCTCACTAGTACCCTAGTTGACTCATGTTCTCAACCAAAAGGACAAGGAGAAGGTGATAGACATGGAGGAGATGAGATACGTGGTGAAGATGTGCCACCTGAGGTAAAATCAATTGGGTTATTAAAAGTTTTAAAATACTGAGTTAATTGATATTTGAGGTGCAATGATTGATGTACTGTTGCAAGTTCCTACTCCTACACATGCAGACTCGAGGGAGCTTGATAATCCAACACCGCATGAATATCCAGAGTTACAGGTGATTTGTAACCCTCTACCTTAATGAATTTTGCTATATTATCTATGTTGTTGTAAAAGTCCTATTTAAATATCTTCTTTTTATATATACACTTGTGTAGGAAGACACCCGGTGTGCACTTCTAGCCCCGGGGCATGCAAATAGTACGGCATTGAGTTGGGTGGCGTATGGTAGTGCCTAACCGACGACGGGTGCTACGGCAGGGCCACATCATTACTCGGTTGGGATCAATTTAGTGGTTGCGGGGTTTGAAGACATCCCACTACCCGTACCGATAGAGGAGGTTGAGATAACAAAGCTTTGGCTAGCTATAGGCAGCTTCGTTGATTGTCCACGTGCATAGGTCAAGTTGATTAATAAGGAGGTAAATTATTTATTTCTCAATTTTTGTAAGTGTTAAATAACCGTTAGGCACTCTAAAAATAAAACCTCCAAAAAAGCACGACTCCCCGGCCCCCATCTCCGATGCCGAGGCAGCGGCGGCCTCGGCTGGTGCTCCTTGCGCTGCTCCGGCATCCGGAGCGGCTGCCCGGGAAACTCAGACCTCGGGAGCCGCTTCCCGGGCAGCTCCGGACTCGGCAGCCGCTGCCGGGGCTGTCCGCCATTGGAATCACGCAACCCCGGGAGCGGCTACAGTGGCTGAAGTAGCCCCGGCAACCGCCTGCCTTGGCTGCTGATATGTCCAATTTATATAGTGTGTTACCCCCGTCCCGTGCTCATAATTAGTAGTGTTTTTAGCTCTTGAGGGTCGCTTTTATTACTAATTTGTGTTTTCTAGTGTTTTCGTAGTTTTAGTTGAGTTTTACAGGAAATTGCACTTTTGGAGCATTTTCTCGGGTTTTCATGGATTGACTACGGAAGCTAGAGGGACACGACCATTCTTGAAGCCCAGGATCGGTGTGAGCCGGTGATTAAGGGCTCGGTAAGTGATACCGGGGCTATTGGATAAACTAATCAAGACCCGATGAGGAAATCCGGATTGGGCCGAGGAATCGAGCCCAATCGAAATCCAAGCCTCGAAGAAGAAGTCAGGCCCGATCAGGAAAGCTTACCCCGATCAGGCAGATGCACGCAGTAGCAGCCTCAAGGAAGTAGCGCGCCCGATCGGGTGAGCGTAAGCTCGATCAGGCACGGCGTGGCAAGCAAGGGGCATAGAAAAAGGCGGGCCCGATCTGGCGGTGCCTCGCCCAATCGGGCGCGTGTAATTATTAGGGTTTAATTTCGTCGTTTAAGTTTGTTTTAGTTTAGGATTCGTACGGAGTATAAATACTTCTCCGTAAAACGATTTTAGTATCTTTTTACTCTCTTCTTTACTCTCTTAATTACTTCTCTCTTAGATTCTCTCTCTCGACTTAGCTTTTAGATTAGTTTCTCTCTCTTATACCTTTGTTCTTAATCTATTCTTAACTCCAGATTTATTTGGTAACTATTTCTCTTCTCTTAATCTCAATTATTTACTTTATTCCTTTGATCATGTCTTGTTTATTTGCTTTGATTAGTTTAGTTTTTATTATGTGTGAGTAGTTTTATTTCTAGGGTTTGTGGGGATCCATAAATAATATGAAGGGGTAATTTATTGTTGTTGATTGTCAATGCTAGATTAATTTCCTATTGATTGATTTAATGCTCTGTGACTAGATTAGGCTTGATCTTTTATGCATGAGTTTGACAATATTGATTCGAGATTCGACAAATGAGAATTGATGTTTAGGTCTAGTTTCAATAGGCGTGTTAATTTATAAATGGTTAAGTAGAGATTCGAAAGATGAGATTTAATACCGGTAAATTAATTGTGTGATTATAATACGTAGCGAAAGCCCTTTACAATCTGATTAATATATGCATTGATGAATGATTATTATATTCTACCCTGGAATATTATTTATTGGTGAACCTATGCCCTAGATCCTTTTATATATTATTTTCTCCTTATTCTTAACCCTCGTAGTTTAGTTTCACATTCAAATTTATATATTGGTTACTTTATAATTTAGATTACTTTAGTTAATTAGGAATAGAAAGACTCGTTTCTCTGTGGATTCGACCCTACTTCCCTATCTACATTAGTTAGAGGATTTAGGAATTACTTTTGATTTGGGGATACGGCTTTACCCTGTCAAAATTTGGCGCCTTTGCCGGGGAAACGGTTTTATTTTTATTTCTGATTATTTTTGTAGTCTAGGTTATTTCTTTTTGTCAACGTTCTCTGAGGCAAATCTAATATTTTCTTTTAGTTTTTTTTTTGTTTATGCCCAGGTGTTCCAGATCAGGGTATATCCCATTCGATCCTGAGATCGAACGATCCTTTCATAGACAGAAGAATTTCTACAAGCAAATTCTGGAGGACTGTAGTGATAATAATAATCACCGCGATCCTCCAACTGGTTCTAGCGATTCAGAGGTATCATCAGATACATAATCAGAGATGACGGCTCCAAAGAAGCTTAGTGATTACTCACAACCAAAGCTTACAGATTTTCCACATCTCACCCCTACTCCGGCTCTTAATGGGGTAAAATTTGAAATTAAACCTCAATTTATAATGATGATTGAGAGGAAGTAATTTAGTGGAGCCAAGGGTGAAGACCCGAATCTTCACATTTCCGACTATTGTCAATATTGCAATACCATCAGGCAAGCCGGGGTCACACAAGACCAAACCAGGGAGATTCTCTTTCCTTTCTCTTTAACTGGAAAAGCTAAATTGTGGTTTAATGGCTTAAATAGAAAAGCACTTGGTATAACTGAATGGGAAACTCTTGTTCTGAATTTTCATAACAAGTATTATCCTGCAGAGAGAACAGCCGTACTACGGAGTGCGATTCAAAACTTTGCCCAAGAAGCCGATGAATCTTTATATGAGGCTTGGGAGAGGTTCAAGGACCTACCAAGAGAATGCCCCCACCATAATTTAGCACAATGGCAGTTAATCCAAGCCTTTTACAATGGTGGGGGCATTCTCTTTCCTACCGCTAGATTCATAAATCTCCCACTAGCTGACCTGCATCATCAACATTAAGATTCATAAATCTCCCACTAGTTGCAGAATCTAAAATAAGATTCAAGCTTATAGGCAGAATAACCCATACTCTAACACCTACAATCCTGGGTATCGGAATCACCCGTACCTTTCCTACCGGAGTACTAATGTTCAAAATCCACCACCACAAGAACCACAGGCGCCACAACAACAACAACAGAAATATTACCATCCCAATGCTGGTAAGAAGAACCAACCACAACAACCCTCCTCATCTTTGGACCCTTCTTTGGTGGAAATTAGAGCGTTGTTGGTTAATATGAAGAAGCACATGGAGAGCAGAGATGCGCAAATTGATTCAATTCTAGCGCATAATAAAATTGTAGATAATCAAATTGCGCAACTTTCCGCTACTCTTCAAGCCCGCCAGCAGGGAGCTCTGCCGGCACAGCCGACCAGGCCTATGGATCAAGCCTATGCAATTACTCTAAGGAGTGGTTCAAACTATGAAGGGCCCCGTATGCCCAAAGTTGATGAACCTGTTTTAATAAATAATGCTAATCTTAATTCCGTTAAACCTGACAATGTAGCTAATAGCCTTGTAGGGCTAAAGCATAGTACTAATATATCTAGATCTACATTGCAGGGTACGACTCCAGAGAAGGTGGCTACTCCAGATAAGAGCAACAATGCTCCAAAGCCAATTATCAAACTTCCATTCTTCAATCGTCAGTTGAAAACAAACTTGGATAAGCAATCTGGTAAGTTCCTAGAGATGGTAAAAGATTTGAAGGTAACAGTTCCCTTCACTGAATTAATCACACAAATTCCTTCATATGCAAAATTTATGAAAGAAATATTGACAAGAAAAAGGTCTATTAGTGAGGTAGAGACAATAGCTTTCACCTGCAGAGTGTAGTGTCGTACTTCAAAATGAATCTCCACCTAAATTAAAATATCCGGGTAGTTTTTCTATCCCTTGTCATATAGGCAAACTAATGATTGATAATGCATTGTGTGATTTGGATGCTAGTTAGTGTCATGCCATTATCTGTATGTTCCAAGTTGAATATGGGTAAATTTAAATCTACTAATATTACTCTACAAATGGCCGACCGTTCTTTCAAATACCCCTTAAGTGTTTTAGAGGATGTCCCCGTTAGAGTAGTTAAATTTTATATACCTGTTGATTTTGTTGTTCTTGATATGGCTGAGGATATGAAAATCCCAATTATTTTGGGTAAACCATTCCTTAACACTGCAGGAGCAGTCATAGATGTGAGAAGTGGTAATTTAACACTATCAGTAAGGGATGATAAAATTGTTTATAATCTTAATAATACCCCTAAAAGCCCCATGACAAAGGAGAAGTGCTATAGTGTTAATGTGGTTCATAATTATTCTAACAAGCCATAAGCTCTTGAAAAAGACCCCTTGGAGGCGGTATCTTGTGTTGCATCCCTTTCAGATGAGATAGACAAATGGAAGAAGGAAGTTGATGCAATAGAAAGAGCACTCTACACTGTTGGTCTTGGTTTTGAGGACGAAAAGGTGGAATCAATCAAGCAAGTTGTGCAATTTGAGCCTATGGTAAGTGTTCTGCCAAATCGAGTTGCAAGTGTTAATTGCAATAACAATTTGAAGCAACCCTCGATAAAAGAAGGATCTTTAGTGCGTAGCATTGAAGACCTCCCAATCCAAGTCAAGGAGGATCCACCAGATAAGGTAAATTGGCGTCCCACAGGGCATGTTAGGAAGCCGCGTCGCAACCAAAACACCGCTAGACCGGGTGAGAAACCGCCCGATCGAGCATTAGGCCAAGGGTCCTAGTTTTTGTACTTGGTAAGAAGGTCGTGCGGGACCTAGATAAACCAGCGCTTTGCGGGAGGCAACCTGTATTTCTTGCGTTCTAGACTAAATTTTTCCTTATTTTTATTTCTTTTAGAGAGGTGAGGAGAGTGAATTTTACCTTTCATGAGTGTTGTGTACAGGTTTTAGATCACAAAGTACGGAGGTTTCAAGAGAAAAAGGCGAAGAAAGAGAAGCTCCAGGATTGGGTACGGGCCCGATCGGGCGAGGCTCGCCCGATTGGGCGCGCACCTAAGGGTCAGAATTGAAGTTATTTCGCCCGATCGGGAAAGGATTCCTGATCGGGAGCAAAATATTGATTTTATCGAAGCTTAATTTCACCCGATCGAGCG